TGTCACTGCAGGTTTATCTTTTCTTTAACTTCTTTTCAAGGTGTTTGTTGTTAGAGACAGAAAAATAGAACACATTTGAGGACATGACTATCTCATGTCCTATTTTCTTATGTTGGTTGCCTTTTTTCCCTGTGCAACTCATGCCATTACAGCCATATCTTCTCTTTCTATGGTTTTTGTTAAACAGGTAGTGACTACAGATAGTTACCTCAGATGGGGTTATTCCTTACACAAAGAGAATAAATGGACAGTATTAAATACCATTTTGTTGTACCTATTGGTTAATGCTGAGTGATGAACTTAAACACTCCTCTTTTCTATGAACATTTATTTCTTTTATATAACACTTCAAGAACATTCCTCATTATGTCTTAATTAATTTCCTTTCAAGATTGTGGTTGGGTTTTTTGTTTTTCTTTGTGAGAGTTTTTTTTTTTTGAGGGGGGGTGGTTGTTTGGTTTCTGGTTGTTTTTGTTTTGATTTTTTGGGGATTTTGTTGTTTTTTTTTTTTAATTTATCAATTTTTTTTTAATTTATCAAATCTAGTACATAGGTGCTGGCCAAATGATTCAGAGTTTTAAAAAATTGTACTCAACTTCCTTAATATGGAAATGCTTTCCATGGACTGAAACTGAAGAGAGCATGAATAGAATGTTTTACACTGGCATCACTAATAGATGGGAAATACTTTTGTAAAAAAGCAGTTTTTGAGACACTTGTCTAAACTTATATCTCATCATTGTGCCTAATGATGCTGCTCAGTTTCACAGGCATTATTCAACTGGGTTTTGTGCTGTCAGATTAACAAGCATCAATTGCCTCACGGTCTTATTTAAGATATCTTTTTTTTTTTTTATGAAGCCAAAGACAGGTGTGTTGTGCACTATCAGAGGATCAATCCACTATTTGCATATAGTTTCTTCAATAATAAAGGGTTCTCACCAGTGATTAAATACCCTGTAATATTCTGTCTCTGTTTCTGGGCATCCTGCCCCATCTGGCTTACTACCTGTCCTTCGTCTATTTCCAGGCCTTCTCACTCCAACTAAAAATGAATTCTAGTCAAGGGGGTTTTTAGAGAAAGGCAATTTAGGGAAAGGGAATAGAAGATGTTTGAGAGATGGGTGTGCACTGAAAGTGCATAATCAGCTGTTAATTCTTGCATGACTCTGTAAAATATAACAGTCCCTGACTAGGAACATTTTTTGACTCTGTGAAGTAATTTGTGGGGGCAGGAGTTCTTTGCCATTCTTAATCAGTCATCTGAGGTCAAACTGAAGCTAACATATGCTGGGATTGAATGCTTAGGCCTCAGTAGTGTCCCTCACTTTTTCTTCCAGAAGGGCTGAAAGTTTAGAAGTCAGAAACATTAATGTTCCCCGCTGCCCCTAAACAGCCAAAGTACAGTTCTCTTGCTTGTTAGCAGAAAATTTAGGTGGGTTTCCAGATTGACTCAGGTCATTAAACAAAATTCATGATTTAGATCTATGAGAGTTTTTAGATAGGGGTTTGGCTTTAGCTATGGAAACAGACATCTGGAATATTTGAGATTCTGTCATCTGCATTATTCAGAGAGAACTTGTGTGTTATGTACTGGCCACTTGCACTCAATTTCACAATCAGATGACAATTTAGAGCTGAATATGTTAGTCTGTTTTATCATTATCATTAATAAACAGAAACCTGTTATCTGCTGATTTATCATGATGCTCAGGGTTGTGTTATAGTTTATGACGATTTACTTACCAAATAAAGCATGCATACTGCTTTCAATTTATTTGTGCTCCCAGGAGAGTGATAAAACTATTTTGGTTACTCAGCTCATAACAATATGAGAGTTAAAGCGGGAGGGTTTCTACAGTTTCTGGAAACATACATTTCAATGTGAATCACAACAATCATTTGTGACATAAGTGTACTAATGTGACATTTACAGACTCTGTGGGTCATTCAAAGATTTTCAGAACTCCCATAGCATTGATATTTGAATAAATCGTACAAAATCACACAAAAAGATACAAACCTTTATTTAAATGTCAACTTTTGTGGGTGACGAATTGGGTAGTTTAATTACTACCTTTCTGTAGAGATCTTTTAGTCAGTGCTTCCCTTTCATTTTTTAAAGTGTGTATCTGTAGCACCATCACTTCCATGCTTTCTGAACAGCCTGACCATAGGTTATAACCTTGACTTCCTAGGAGCAGCACAGTCTCACTCTGACTTGAGCCAAGCCATACACTTTGAGGAAGGCTTATGTAGTGATTAATTTATCTAAATTTACCTTTCTCTCCCCAACTCCCTTACTATGTTGCTGAGGTTTCTTTTGGTGGGAAAGGGGACTTCTTACTGCTTCATGCACTAGCTCCTTTTCTATAGCTATCAGCCTTAATCTGATCTGCTCACTTTCCTCAGAGACTTGTGCTTACAGGGAACATGCATCATCTCAGACTTTTTCCTTAACTGACTTACAATGCAACCTCCCTCTCCTGGACCAAAGACTCTCCCCTCTCTCACCTGCTGCTATCCACATTGCATAGTAAGAGACCTGCTTGACATAAACAAACTACTGCAGAGAGTTTTGTCTCCCACCCTAGCTATATTGCAGGTGGGCACAATCTGAAAGATACAAAAATAAATGGCACTATTTTCCAGCAGCTCTTTGTTTTTTTCATGTGAGTGCCTCAGGCTGTATTAAAGTTCACTGGATTTTGCAAACACAATGGAATGTTGTTTCCCTAGACATTGCTGCTGTGCAGCAATTGTATGCTATATCACATCAATCATTTGTCTTTTACTGCCTGTATATGCCTAGGGAGCAGTAGGTCTACCTGATCTGTTGCAGAAGGATGTACCTGGATGACCAGTTATGAGTCAGCTATGCAGTTGTACAGGACCTCAGTTGAAAAGGGTTGAATCAGAAGGCAGGCAGTTGTATTACTGTTGTTGTGGCTGACTTAGCATGGCCACAAACCCATCAGCTTCTAGCTGATGGCTTAGAGCTGGTTTGCATCCTTTCATCCAATCATACTGTAAAAACAAAACTCATGCTGAAAAGTATCAAAGGAAAGTAACCCACAGTCATATAGGCATATTTTCAAGACTTATATTATGTTCATGCCTACTAGAAACAAGTGAAAGATACGTTACAGAGATCGATACATGTTATAGAGATCTTGAACTTTCAAAGCAAAAAGCTCTTGATAACTGAAGCCAGATATTACTAGACAAGAGGTAACCTGTGGCAAAAGGCTCTTCAGAGAAAATAAGTAAATATGCTCAGTTTCTTTTCAAAACGATTATTTCTCTTTTTTTTTTTTTTTTTTTTTTTTTCTCTGCTACTCATCATTTCCAGCCATTTCAATGGGCAAGGTGTTTTATATTTAGAGTAATTTTTTCTATGCACTAAAGTCAGGTTTTCAGTTCAAAAAAATCAGTTTGAAAAATCAATGGCAATGTCATGTTTGTTTTAAGAATAGTGTCTCACTGGTTGTTATTTTCCTGCCAGTTTCAACATCACACACTAATGGTATAACTATATATAATTTTTCAACCATAAGTAATATTTGCTTTCATTTCCATTCTATAACAAATATGATCCCAGCTTATTTAACAAAGAATTATCTGAAATAAATTTAGAAATAGAAAGAAATTAATTTTTTTTTTCATGTTAGTATATTCCTATTGCTTCTGAACAGCAACAGAACTTATATCAGCATTACACAATGTGCGATGAGGTTGCACTTAGCTATCTATATGGAAAATAACAACTTTAACCCAACTTCCCTTGTAAAAGAATCAGGATGACTTTGTGATACAAAAGTAGAATTTGAAAAGTAGAAACTTAAAGCTCGAGTAAATTGAGTAGACAAGTCTATAAAAATTTTCTTTAGTTCCCCACCAGCTAATTATATACATGGATAAGAGTTCCCTCTATGTTCACTGATCAGGCTAAATGACACAAGCTCTCTCAGCTGCATCCTGTATGTCAGATGCTCCAAGCCCTAATTGTCTCTGAACTTATTCCAGAATGTCCATGATGCTTCTACTGGGATATGCCCTACTGGTGCTGGGTAGAGGGGAAAGGTCACCTCCCTAAACCTGCCAGTGACAATCTTCCTAATACAGCCCAGGAGCCTTCTTTTCCAAAAGGGCACACTGCTGGCTTCTGATCAGTTGTCTACAGGTATTCCCAAAATCTTTCATATAAAACAGCTTTCCAGCTGGTTGGTCTCTACTGTGCGTACTGATGTACTGTGTGTACTCCATTGTGTGTACTGATGCACAAGACTGTTCCTGCTTAGGTGCAGGACTTGGCCTTTTACTTTGCTTACTTTGTTCACTTGTTTTCTGCCAGTACACCTCTTCGGCATACTGAATTCCCTCTGAATGGGGGCACACCCATCTGGTGTATCAACCACTCCTCCCAAGTTTGCATCATCACACTTGATGAGAGTGCAGGCTGTCATATTGTTCAGGTCATTAATGAAGAGGTAAGACATTATTTCCCTGGAATGAGCCCCTGGAGTACACCATCAGTGGCTGACCTATCAGGCTGGTCAGCTCTGACTTCCCAGTCAGTCTATGCCTCCTATTTGCAGTCACTTTCTTGATGACTTGGTGATCAAACTCTTCTTAATAGATTTGTAAATGGCTTAAAGTAGAATATGCCCCATCCCCTTTCAAGGGATCAAGATGAGGCTGACCACACTGTAGTTCCTTGGATCTCCTTTCTTGCCCTTCTTGAAGACAGAAGTCTTCAACTCCTCAGGAGTCTCTTTCAACTCACGTGACCTTTCAAATATAATTGTAAGTGACCTAGCAATGACATCAGCCAGCTCCCTTAGCACTCACCATGGATCCATCCTATCAAAATAAAAGACACATTCAGACTGAAAAAACAATTTTCTGAAAGTGTATCAAGCACTCTCTGCTAGAAAAAAATCTGGAAATTGAAACAAAATATGTTTTGAAAGAAAGAATTTTATTAAATCACAGCTATTTGTGCTAAAATAGTTGCTAGAGCATAGTGCTTTATAAAAATCATGTTTACCCTTTTTTAAAATGTATTCATACCTTATACAGAAACAGATTTTGTCTATACCACAAAGACTGAAATTGTTTGGAATTTCTAGTTAGTGTAGAGTGAATCTGGCTTCTTGGTGAGAGGTCTCTGACACCGATAGCACTGGTATTGCAAGTAGCATGTGAACTTCTGATAACTTTTCCAGTAGAATATAACACTTGGCTTTTGACCCAGAAGTGCCAAAGTGATTTTGATTTCCTCTTTGAATTCTTTCTTCATAGACTGCACTACCATAATTCAGATCACTGTCAGTTTTCTAGTAAAAGCACTTGAACAGAAGTGACTGTTGGAGAAAAGAGACCAAAATGGTAGTTGATACTGGTTTGTTCCTTTCAAATGGAGTAAGAATGTCTGTGAACTCCACATCTGTGTCTCTGCCTGCTGCAGGTGTCCTGAACTTCCTGCAACTATATAGGAGATACAAGTTCTTTTATTCCCTGCATGAACTGCTCCCTAGAATCTGTGCTCAAAATAGAATGAACCACCCTGACATTGTTAGATCGATTCTAATGCTGTCCTAGTCAATCTACTGTCATTCACTATCATTGGCTGTTGTCAACTTTTGCCGGTAAAGTAAAAGTTTTAGTATCTTGTGTTGAAATGGACTAAAATATGTTACTATAATTTATATGTGTTTGGCATCTTGTGAGCACAGCATAGGCAAAATTTTCTGCTACCTTGGATGATGGGAGCCAGTAATCCAATGCATAGGATGCTTCACAATTCTTGGAGAGGACAGATACGGTTCAGTGATACTTTAGAGGTTCCTTAGCACCTATACATGCTCAATGGGATCTAATGTAAAAATCAGAAAAAAAACCCTATCGTCCCTGAATTACTTTAGTAGTTTAAAATATTTAAAATAATTACTGTCTCAAATATTGTTCTAAAACTTCTTTCATCCAGTTGGCAGTAATTCTCTTTTTCCTTGCAGTACCACACTCTAAGTAAGAATTACTACCGCTGAATTTGTCAATCTTGTGTTGAAGTAAAAGTGGCATAATAAGTACAAATATCTTCCCTGAACAATATTGATCTTGAGCCAGTCCAGTAAAAGCACTATTGGGTTCCTTAAAAACGTATATGGATTATCTATGTACCCAGCAGCTTGGATATTTTCTAATGAATGATTTTCTGTGCAATAAATGCTACTAGTTATCACAGGACTGAACTTACCCTGTAGAAATGGCCTTGAGAAAACTTTAATAAATGAAAACACTAACACTGCCATTATGGCAGCCAACAAATGAAAAAGTACTCTTCTCAATATGTGGCAGCTACTCTTCTTACTGCTGAGCAAAAAGATAACTGTCACCAAACTACACTACTCAGCCCTCCTTTCACCTCAATGCAAAGTGTGGCTTTTGGTTGTTTTTGTTTCTTTCTATCATCTAGACAGATAATAAACTGCACTTTCTTGATCTTTCTGCTTAATATCTCAAACCCTCAGCCCACTTAGGAATAATTCTCCAGGATCCCAAGGAAAGAATCAAATCAGCTTGCTGCCAAGATCTGTTTAAGTGATATACACCTTTAGAAAATTATGGCAGTGCCTCCTAGAGTGATTCATTCTAAGAATATGACAATAGCCAGCTTGGTAATACTTGCCTACAGGTAAGAATGATGCCAAACACCCACAATATTGGAAATCTAATGAGTGACATGACCTCTCAGCAGTTCATAGATAGTGGAAAATCACTATTCTAGCTGAGAAAACAATGCTGTACAGTTCTGTATATCGGTTATCAATATGGCATTGCCTTTACACACAATGTGTTATGTTTTATTTGCAGAATAATTATTCTGATCTCATCAAATAAGTGCAATTGTCATTTATTAATCACAGATCACCTTATATTCCATGACAATTGCTTTTGAGTTACTATTCTCTGTTGAATGTCATCTCATTTAATGAGACAGTATCACCTCATTAGAATTCACCTAGGAAAGTGTCACTGTGGCCAGGGCACTTCTAAAATAGTTGAGACAAATTAGTATTGTCAAACCCAAGAGAGATATTATAAATTCCCCTTTAAACTACTTTTGCATCTTTCAAGGGCAATTTACCCCCCCAGCAGATTCAGCTGGCTGATGCTTTAAAATATCTCACACTGTCATTTTGTAAAATATTTCAAATTGTTTTTTAAACTCAGAATTTTTTTTCATACAATTTCTTTATCTGTAAAAGAAAAAATAATATTATTCAAAGTTTGAAGTTGTTGTGGGTAATAAATACAAATATAAACAGCATTACCAAGGCAAGAAAATAATTTAAAGTATACTATAAATACAGATATAAACAGCAATGTCAAGGGAAGAAAATAATTTAAAGTATACTAGTTACATTTAGCTGATATATCTAGAGAATGGCATCAATTGAATTAGTCACCATTCAGGTTCAGTTTAATTGCCAATAATTTATTTTGAAAGTAGGAGACCTACAATATTGAATATTTATTTCCTTTCAGATTGAATTATATTCAAATACAACATATAAAACTCTAAAAGAATCCTTATTTCAAGTACAAAGCAGCTGTAATGATTCTTGTATAAGAAATCATGGACATAAACTGCACATCCAGAACACTTCCTGCAGTGACGCTGCTCCCAAAATAACAGTTTCTTTATATTAGGCAGTTGTAAACTCAAATGATCTTCACATTTTCACAATACACTTTCTTTCTTTCAGCTTCTCGAAGTGAGGGCTCTGCAAATGATCAAGGGAACCCTTCACCCAACCCGTCACTCAATGAACTCAACAGGAAGTGTTTTTGCTCCTTTTTCCCAGATAAACCTGCCCTTGTCTCTTCCCATCAAGTGTGCTGTGAGAGTATCCTCATTCTCCTCGATCCTTGTAGATGGAGCACCTGCTCAGTGTACCTTGCTACTGCTTGGGAAGTTTCTTTGTGCCTTGTTTCTGACCCTGTGAAAAGCTGAAACACAAAAATGTGATCATTTAAGAACAGATGAGAACTGTAAAGATCTAGATCATTAATGACACTGTTGTATTTCCCTTCTGGATTTTTGTAGTAAAAATTTGATGTTTCTCTCTTCCATAGCTAAAATTTGCATCTGATTACAGAATATGAAGAACTAGGGCTTAAAAAAGACACTAAATATTTAAAGGTTTACTATGAATGTTTCAGGCCAAATATCTGTAACAAACTTATAAAAATCAAAACATTACATAGAAATATGACAACTCAATAGAAATTCTACTGAGGAAGAAATTCAGTTTTTTAACATTTTTTTTCTTCAAAACAACTGCTCCTTTTTGTATTTAATATATCATTTAAGCAACTCTTAAATTTTGAAACCAAATGCTTCTCTTTATATATATGAATTATATTAAAAAGATTTAGCATTTCAAATATTTAGCTAAGTGTATAAATTTATGCCAATTTGGACCATCATTATACTTTAAAATACCAATAGAACAGAAATTCTAAATTTTGAGAGAACTATACTATGACAGTATTCGGCAACAGTTCTGAAACAATTTTGACATTATTTAAAGGGAATAAAACAAGACTCAAGTAAGCAGGTAGGCAAGAAACCTTCCTGAAGTATGGTAGTCAGACTTATTCTGATCAAAATTGGTATAGGTAGCATATTCAATTTCCACCAAATACTTACCTTCATCTGATATCTCATCTCTGTTACACCAGCACATAATTTCAGTGCAGACTTAGAGGTCCTAATCAAAACAAGAATGCTCTAATTTATAGTAGAAAATAAAAAAAAAACTGTATTGGAAGAGATCACAAGATGTAGGTGTAGTGCAGCTCCTTATTTGAGCTATATTCTTTGTATTTTAAATAATATTGATTTGTTGAGGTCATTATGTTTGCAGATTCTGGTCTTAACCATGGTACCATTTGATGGTCATACTCCAATTTGCATGTTTCTGTGATTTTTTACTTTTGTCAGCCAATTACTGCTTTGCTATTTGAGACGTGAAACTGTGATTTCAAAAATATGCACCACTACCACTAAGACTATTTAAAATATTTTTGATTAATGTTTTCATTTGCCTCAAAGGAGGCTTTCAAATAACTTTAGTGCCACACTAATCTCAAAGTATAGCAGCTGTAATTTACTTCATATTACTGTGTTTAAAAGCAAAATGAAAGCAGTTACAAGCTCAGACAAAAACAAAACTATCCTTAACCTTCAGAATATTTCTTCTGTTGAGGAGAATTCTATATCACAAAAAAACCAAATCTTATCAAAGTCATTGCTTGTTCAGAAATACTGACATTTTGATAACTAGTTTTAAAAATAATATGGTATAAGGGAACACAGCTAAATACTTTAATAGTCCTGGGCTCTCCAAGAGTTTTGCGCTTCCAAAAGTTCATTGCTGACATATAAACTTTATGTTGTGCAATGCCCTCATAGATGGGGAAAAGGTGGGCTTGCAGATGAGGCGGGCTGGGGGAAGTAAAGGCAAAAGACACTAATATTTTGAAAAGAGCTGTTCCTTGCCTTTTTTTTCCCTCCATCCCAAACTTACTGTTTGCAATAAACCTACCTCTTCATTTCTAGAACTTTATGACTTTTAAGTTTTCTGATAAAGGTAACTACTGTACCTTAATGATTCAATATAATATCCAATCTCACACCAGGCAACTCAGTTATTTTACAATAATAAGTGTGTTTAGTTCAATTTTGTCAGGGTATTTTGAAGTCCAGAATGCATTAAGGAAAGTGAGGAAATGAAAGTTAAAACTTTGGTCTTAAACCCATGACTCTTCAGACCAGTGAAGTTGGCTTTTTCAGTGGCTGTAGACTTGTGTCATAAGCAGCCTGAAGATGTGTTTTTAGAGAAAAGAAAATTAGTTTGGAGACATGTAAAAAGATGACTTGCATTATGCCTGGCTACCCAAAGGAAACAACTTATCATCTTGTTAAAACAATGAGATATGTAGGAAATATAAGAGACTTCCTAATAGTTTATTTACACAAAAAACACTGTCCTTTTTAAAGAATTTGGTCACTCTCTTATTCTGCACTCCTAAAGATAATTTTAAGTGGATTTCAGTTTCAGACTGATGAAAATATATTAACACATGCTGTGTTAGAGCAAAATTGCTTAAAGTCATTCAAAATCATATAATAATGGATCACGAACTCAACCTTTTCACCTAAATTTGCAAAAGTTTTCTACCTAGGCTTTCATATCTGTGTTGCTTCCAACTTTCTCAGAGAGGGCAAAATGAAAGACAGCCTTGACATAAAGACAGTAACCTAGGAGTCATTGGTGTGGACAATGAGTACCTGACCTTTTACTGGCTCTATGAAACTGGGTGAATCTTTTACGATCGAGTCTGAAAATCAAGCTTTATTTTGAAGTGAAAGAAGGGATTCATAGCCCTCTCAAGTTCACAAAATCAAACATACTGGCTAAAGGATTGTTTACAATCCTTTATGATGCTGAGGACAGGGGAATAAATCATTCACTTCCCTACAGTTTAAGTACCAGTCCACCTTCAAGACTAAACACAAATTTGTAATTAAATACTTAATGTCATTCCTTTCAGTCCAGGGAGACCCCTGTTAAATGTTTCATTCCTCCATGCAGATTGGAAGCCCTATCTCCCAAAAGTCTTTTAATCATCAGGAAGATAAGCTGAGGGATCCTCAATCTGCCTTCTTGATATTGTTCCACTTTGCCTATGAAAATATTGATTTAATTGCACTTAGTAAAGCACTCATCCTCAAGGAGAGAATCAGGGTTCCAGTTCCTTCTTCCACTACTATTTTGCTAATTTATGCTGGAAAGGGAAAGCTGTGTTTCCCTTCACCTTTGTATGTGAACTGACCAGTTGTATAATCAGTTTCTCATGGTCTTTGGCTGAGTCAATATTTAGTCACTCTGCGTAAGTGAAATAAGTTCAATAGAAAAAGAAAAATAGGAATATCCAAATTATTAGCAGTTACTGGCAGCTACAAGTACTTAGTTTTTTTGGATTTCTCAATTAAAAATAAAAAATCACAGAGTGAGAATGGAAAATAACAAGATATTCTGTATCCTGACAGTGCCGTTTTGCTGTTAGCTGAAAGACTTTCAAGGCACCATCTTTGGTTTAATTTTGCTCTCTCTGTGACCTCATCTGCAGTGTTCTTGGTGGATGTTTTGCTTAACCTCTCCAGATAAGTACTTAGTGTACTTGTCAAAGTACTGAAGGCAAACACGACTAAAAGAGTTTTAGAAATGACCAGTAGGTCTCTAGGCACCTAAGGAAATGAAAGTTGGAAATTTACATCCCAATGAACTTCAGTTACCTTAAGCCTTAGCATGAAGTTTTGGCATGCAAATAGGAATTTAAATTCCTGAAGTTATAGCATTTTATGGTCTAGTACTCACTTTATCTATTAAGTGCTTCACTCCTAAGGAGTTCTTTGAAAAGGACAGAGCAGAATTTCTTCAGTGTATAAGTATTGTGCAAAGAAATGTATTGAATCTCAGAAAATTTAAGGATCAGCTAAGAAGCACTGGAGCGAAATGCCAACTCATATAAATGATATATTCTATGATATATACTGTGATATAGCAGTGTTTATGCAGTGGTATTACAGACTACTAATGACCAAAAAATTACTAATAATTACTGTCTTAAAACAATATTACACCCACTATTGACCATTGGCTATTGCTCCCTGAAGGCAGAAATTTGGGATACATTTTCACAGAGATGAATAATTTTATTACAAGTAATATAATCTTTAGTTACATTACTTGAACTCATTATTTTGGTATTTATTTTACTCTCACTGCCTCACAAGTCATGTTGATTTCAAGACCAAAGCACTTTGTAGAGTTTGAATTTAAATCCAGGTGATTGAAAAAGAAAACAATACGTTTCAAGCTAACCTCTCTGTGATTGCTTCTGTTTACTTGGTTTTGTTTTGTTTTGTTTTGTTTTTGTATAACTTCCACTTACCAGGAATGCTAAAGTTCTGAATAAGATGTATATCTACCTGCTGTGGAAACAAATTACTCTTTATTTTCTAACTCCATTTGTAAAACATTCTTCCAGATGTTATAGTATTGTCAGATATAAGAAAACATGACACTTCTACTGCCTCTTTTCAAAACAGATTTTGATATAAGGAATTTCTCCACATACTCTGTGGTGCCACTTCATTGATTAATTTTTAAAAAAAATCTTTAACACATTTGGGAAGGAAGGAAGGAAGTCAGATAATAATAGTGCAATACTAGTTGTTTAGATATATTTTTCCTGGTAGTTTGGAATCGGTGACACAGGGCATAAGAGAGTCTTTCATGATCCCCAAAATCATCTTTTTTGAACCAATTATGAAGAAAAGATATATAAAAAATTATACTATTTGATTTAAGGAGGGAAGCTTCATCAATGGTAATCAGTGGTGATTTCTTGGATTTGTTGCCTACATGGGGTAAAATAGATGTAAGTTACATGTACCTATAACTGGATTTAGAAGAAAAGCTGCACTAAATTTCTCATTGTTTTGTACTTACTTGGTCAACTCTCATCCTGGCAGATGGTGATGAGCAAGCAATTCAGAAGCATCCCTAGTATTATGAGGAATACCAATTTTGTTGGTTAATGTCACACAAAGCAGTGTGTGACCAGTCATAACTCTTTACAACCATCTGTTCTTGCTCAATTTGAGTAGATTATTTTGGTATGGACTATGTTTTTTATATACCAAATACTTTATTGCATCCAGTCACCCAGAGGAAGATGGGTATGAATAGGACATAATTAATGATGAATTTGTATCAAGAATATTATATATTTATTCTTTACAGATTCTTCAGAGAAAAACTAGGCATTTTAAATTCATAGAAGTATTGGTAATAAGGAGGTTTTCACATAAAATGTTAAGTCATTTACATAAATGACTTAAGAGTAAAATATTTTTATTGAAGAATACAGATGTAGCATTAGTTATATGATACGTTGCGTCTCTTCCCATGCTATTCCTCCATGGCTGAGATTCATAACTTAGAGGTTATATTCATGTCATGATTTTTAAAGCACAATATCCTGATGTTTCTATGTCTTTAACTAAGCATCTGTAGAAGAAGGCACATATGAGTCAGATGGTCAATACCAGAGTCCTATCCCTGCCAGTGGCCAGCAGGACATGTTCAGTGAAGATCAGGTAGCAAAGAGTAACCTTTGTTGATATCACCAAGGCTTTTGATACTGTGAGTAGAAAAGGTCTGTGGCAGATTTTGGAACGTTTAGAATGTCCCCCCATATTCCTTAAAATTATCATCTCGCTTCATGAGGACCAGCACGGCCAAGTCAGATATGGCAATGCACTTTCTGAGCTGTTTCCAGTAGCCAATGGTGTGAAGCAAGGCTGTGTTCCTGCACCAACTTTATTCACAGTCTTCTTCAGCATGATGCTCCAAAGGGCCATGGCAGACCTCGATGAAGGAAAAGGTATCTACATCCAATGTTGTACCAGTGGAAGTCTTTTCAGCCTAAGGCGACTGAAGGCCCACACTAAGACCTTAAATCATCTTATCCATAAGCTGCTTTATGCTGGTGATGCCGCCCTTGTTGCCCACACAGAAGTAGCTCTGCAGCGTTTAACATCCTGCTTTGCAGAGGCTGCTGAGCTTTTTGGACTGGAAGTCAGCTTGAAGAAAACAGAAGTTTTATATCAGCCTGCACCTCAGGAAGTCTCCCATCATCCCCATATCAGCATTGGTGAAACAGAGCTCAAGTCAGTCCAGTAATTTAATTATCTGGGAAGCATCATCTCCTCAGAGGGTAAGATTGATGCAGAAATAGACAACAGGTTAGCAAAGGTGTACAGAGCTTTTGGTAAACTCCATAAAAGAGTTTGGTGAAACAAACACCTGAAGAAAAGTACTAAGATCTGCATTTATGGAGCCGTTGTACTGTCTAGTCTTTTATATGGGTCTGAATCATGGGTCATTTAGTGCCACCACTTGCATCTCCTAGAATGCTTCCATCAGCGCTGCCTCCGTACAATCCTAAACATCCACTGGACTGACTATGTGACCAACACGTCTGTCCTTGAACAGGCAGCAGTCACGAGCATTGAGGCCATGCTGCTGAGAACACAGCTGTGCTGGGCAGGGCACGTCTCCAGGATGCAGGACCATTGCCTCTCTAAGATCGTGCTCTATGGGGAACTTGCCACTGGCTGCCGCAAGAGAGGAGCCCCGAAGAGGAGATACAAGGACTGCCTGAAACAATCCCTCAGCCTTGGCCATATTGATCATCACCTTTGGTCTACCCTGGCCCCCAGTCAGGAGGCCTGGAGACACACCATCTATAACGCTGCTGCTGCTTTTGAGAACACACGCAGGATCACTCTCGAGGAGAAAAGACAACGCAGAAAGAATCATGTCTCATCAATATCACCTGGGGAGTCTTTCTGCTGTGCCTTCTGCAACCGGACTTGTCTATCTTGCACTGACGTTTTTAACCATCAGCACGCTTGTAGCGAGTATGGGTAGAGTCCTTCCCAAATTTTCGTTCACGAAGCCTAGCCATGATGATTTTTTCTTTTGATGATTTCTTCATCCTTTTATATCTTTGCTATATTTCTTTCAGGCCCCTTTCTAAAAGTTCTTTTGTTATAATCCAAAGTTTTGTTTGAATGCAGAGTAACACACAAGACTGAGTTCTGGTTAAATGAGAAGGAGAACTCTCAAACCATGACCTTAGTCATATGCACTGTGTTTAGTTGATATCCCTTCTCTTTGAGACAAAAGTTCTGCAAAGCCTCGGGATTAAAAATTATTTATTCAGTTAGTAGTTGTCAGTACTCAACAATTACCTCTAGAATACTTTTTATCTATAAGTCCTTAGACAATCATGGTAGTTTACATGCTACTTTCTCATGCTAATTACAAATGCAAATAAAAATTTTAGCGTATGTTAGTGTTATTTTTCTCTGTTAGAAACATAGAAGTGCCATATATTGTAAAATTATTGGGAATTATTAATCTTCAAAGCTGACATTAGTATATGATAATTGTTTTGTCATTTTCAAGCCTAATTATGGGTATGATATAATTTATCAAGATAAACATACTCAAAGCATGGCTGGAGAAAGCAGCTCTGGTTGGTATATTTTCTGATTTTTGAATGATTAAATTAGCTCAGCCAATAGTATATTAAAAGTCTTTTATTATGAGGAGTTCCTGTGACTTTTAACTGACCTATTATTTAATTTTGATTGCTTGTGAAATAAAGATAGAGAGGATTAAAATACCTAATCTCTATTATGTGTACTTTCTGAAATGCTGTTTGCACATTTAACACACCAATAAGTTTCCATTTAAAATGAAATCCACATCCACTCTGGTGTTAAAAATACAGACTGATATATCATTTAGTGAAAAGATAAAATGTGAACATTTTTCTTCCCCCAATATAGCCTGAAACTTCATATAAGCTGCTAAGGGATGCCCTTGTGCCTTCCCCTCAGTGAGAATAAAAAAAATCCAGCATCACACACTTCTCCATAAACAAAATTATACATGTTTTAAATATAAGATTTTTAAATATGATTCACCTTTTCCACACAGAAATTTTTGTTAGGTCAGGAATTCTGCTTAACCCTCCAGTAGCAGCCCCTCTCTTCCCCCCTTTCTACTTCCCCCAGGGCAAAGGAAAAAAATTGCAAAAAATATGCAAATTGAATAACCCGAAAATCAAGCTAGTTATATAAAAAAAATATATTTTATATATATTACAGTTAAGATGCTATGTACACAGCAAACGGGAATCCAAACACCCCCTGAAGGGATAGGGAAAGGGGAAAAAGGGACAAAAGGAAACAAAAAGGGACACCGAATAGATATGCACAATCAAACACGAGAACTAGTAAAATAACTAGTAAAACAAATCTCACCACGTCCCTTAGAAAGAAACAGGTTTGACACACACACGGCCAGCACTCCCCAAGCCTCCACGTGGCAGGTCAGTGGATGCTGCAGGCCTCAGCCTTAGATAAGTGAGACCAATGCAGGGACCCACTGTTCCCGAACTCCGGTGGAAGAGAAGAAGAACGAAGGCCGCTCCTCCCTTCTTATTTATACCACGATTTACGTAAAAATCGTATGGAATAGTGGGAACACTGCCCCGTCCTTGTTTACAAACTGGTAACCAGGGAAGGCCTAGATTAAAACCACCACAACATGTCATTAGTTTCTCAAAATTTTCAGTCTCCTGCTGAGACTAAAAGAACTGTTGACCACTTAAAAAAATATATGTCAAAGAAAGTCAAGTCTAGACAACTGAGTGAAGTTTAATACAGAAAACAGTCTGTTGGCGAAAAGGATCTGGGAAAAGGGAGTGCTGACAAGTGAGGTGTCATATTCAACAGTTTTTCTAATGTCTACATGAGTAGGAAGAGAATGAGTATTTCTAAGGAAAATAGAGAAAGAAATTTCCTGTAGAGGTGATTTTTATTCAAAATTATGTCCCTGTCTGTTACAGTCAAAACAGTAGGGTTTTTTTAATAATTGGAATAGAGCTGTACCTAACTGGGAATTCTCTCTTTTTATTGTCTCTTCTGCCTTGAATTGTGTCCTCCATGAAAATCGTCTTGTAGCATGATCTCCACTTTGGATTATGCTAGAGTGATAAGTGGTATTCTGGATGTTCTACTTCAAAAATGCTAAAATATATAACATACTTCTTATAGGCAATGCATTTAGTACAGATAAATTTTTTTCTAATACTAATGAAACCATATATCTCTTGGAATAGTGGAAGGTTGTGAACTATCTTAACTTTCCAAATACCTCTGAAGATACAATATTATTATCTGGAATCTACACTCAGACTTGAGTGGGGAGGTGATGGAAATCACACAGAAGCATTCTAGTACTTATTCATGTTAAAATTGTGTTAGAATTAAAATTGTGTTAGAATTAAAATTGTGTTAGAATTAGACACACATACAGACACACAAAAAAAGAATGGAAAAAATACTCTGACAAAGAAAGCAACATTTTACAGGTCAGAGAGTAATCAAGTAAGATACAAGTTGCCAGGAGTCAAGCAGAGCTAGATTCAGAAAAGCAAATTATCCAAGAACAGAGTAGAGTCTATGCAGTGGTTTAGTTTTCCACTTTCCATACTTTAAAAAGTATTTGTTTTCAGCAACTAACTGACATTTACAATTTGATTAATTCTAAAGTATATTGGGAAGTTTCTTTTTGTTTTGGGGGTGTAAGGATTTTTTTTTTCAAGTTCTGTGATGATATATTCCTCTTTCTTTGCTCTCTGGATTACAAGTTCTTGGGTGGAGATGACACGTAGGAAGAAAAAATATATGGCTCAGCTTCCAGGAGTAAGGCTTTGCAGCTAGGATTTTGATATCTGTGAAGTAATATGTGTATATAAAATGCCGTAAAAGGGAGCTATGGTACTCAGGGCTTCGGACACATTAGCCTACCCTAAGCAACACATTCTACCTGCTAATCCCCTTTTTCCTCAGTTCCTGTCTCCTAAGCACAGAATTACTGTGGTGGTGGATGTTAATACAGCTTTTTTCTTGGACCAGACCTTTCCCAATGCTTTGGAGATTCAGTCATGGCATGACAGTGTGGGGACTGCCAGGAGATGGGTAGCAAGTGCCTTCACTGTGCTAGAGACCCAGTCCCTTATGTGCCTGAAGATTTTTGTTTGAAGTACTCCTTGTTATTTCCTATTCAACCATTTCTATTATGAAATTTGGAAGATAACATGACATAAAAGATGAAATTATGAGTGATAGTTTACCATGAAATGTTACCTCAAAACCAAGAAATGAAATGGTCTTCTGCAAAATCAATTTTATAGAAACAGTGCCTTTCAGTATATAAAGAAATATGTTTTTAAGTGCTTTCAAATATCGAACTTTCACGTTTTGTCAAACTTCACAAAGTCTGGGGTTGGTTCAAAGCTCCATTTAGCTGCCATGTATTTTTCCCTTTTATTTCCTTTTACATTATTTTGATTACCAAGACTTGATGGATTGTTATCACAAAACCATAAGAACTGGACACTTGAATCAACTTGCTTTTCTGTCAAGAATGTCTCAGCAGTAGCTTTCATTCCTTCTTTGGAAGATTTCTTTTCAAGTTAAATGGAACGCATTATTTTATAAAGAAGTACCTTTCTGCTTTATAGCTCAATTTTCCAATGCTTCTGGAGAGAGAGAGACTTAAGAGTTGAGGGCACTTGGGACCCTGCAGGAGGCACTCTGCACAGCAGAGAACTGAATCATTAAATACAGTACTTTTTTTAGTGCACATACAAAAAATACTGCCTTTGAGCTCTGTTTTGTGCATCTGTACAATGCTCCATTTCCTGGTAATATTTCTACAAGCGTTGTACCTGCTATACTGTAATTGAGGGTTATCGGGTTGATTTTTAACCTGCCTCTGTAAGCATCATAGAAGACCTAACATTGCAAAATAAAATGTTAAATTTGCTACTTAAAGTGGTTTCATAAGAATAGGAATTATTCTTTTGTCTGTTAAGGACTGTCTATTTGAGATAGAGTGAATATTGTTTATTTGTTTATGTGTTTTCCAATACACCTCTACATTTTGTTACATTATTATCATCATCACTGTTATTATTACACGGATCAGAACAAGTAGTAAAGAGGAGCAGAAATGTCATGCACTTAGGTAAGCTGCAATTCTGGCATATAGACAAAATAACACAGCAAAGTCAGGTGAAATTAAAAAGGGTGGGGAATGATGTGTATTCAGGTGGGAAAGTTATATCAAGACTATCTGAGGTGTTAGGAATGGAAATTAGTGAAATGAGAGTTTCAAAGGCTAAGAACTAAGAGGGAAGAGGTGCTTTCTAAGGAACGCAACTGCAGAAACCCTGCTGGGTGCACTGCACAATCTTAGGTAGAGCAATAGATAATGGCAGAAGATACAAAGAGAGAAGGCAGGGCCTGGTGAGCAGCAGACCAGGGGAGGGAAGGATGATGAAGACAGGGAAACCTGTAAAAAAACACAAGCATTCTTCCAACAATGTTTATCTGCTAACAGGAAACCTACACATGCTTTGTCTGATGGTTCAGGTGCCCATAAGCACTATATTTCTGTTTGCAGCCTCCTTTACATGCCAACTCACATTTCCCAGACACATGTAGCATTGATGCCTGTGGTACACTGAAAGTGTTCTCTGATATGAAACCTAAATTCATCAGCTTAGAAACCCTAATTTTTAGTATTTTGATGCCTTTGAAAGGAAGGGAAGAATGATTGTCATAAGTGAGAACATGGTCAGGGTTTTAAATAGAAGAGTAGACACGGAAAATAATGTACTAAAAGGAGAGGAAATAAAAGAAACTACTAGAAATAGAAGCAACTAGAAACAAAAACAAGAGTATAAAAATGATTGAATGAACAAGTGAATTTGATTATGCAGCCAAAACACTACCAAAAAGACCATAGGGATTTATATACCAGATAAGTTATTTCAAACACAGATTTTTTAAATTAAAAATTAGAGATTAGATTAAGTTATAAATAAGTTACATCATTTATTTGTAATAAAAGGTAAAAATTTTGAACTTCATATAGGAGAGGTATTTAAAAATGTATGTAAAGGGACAAAATATAAACATTTTAGTAGAAAAGAAAGGAAAGTTTAATGTTGATTTCAGAAGCCTTTCAAAATTGATTGTGAAATTATTTAAAACTACTGCAGCTTCATTTTAATTTCTTCAAAAAATGTTTTCAAAATAAACTCATCTTATTAGGGTTTCCTTCCTATTTCATATTTATGTTGCTTCAGAAAAGTTGTGCTTGCATTGTTTCTATTTTATTTTCCATTTTGCAGTGGTTGAAACTGGTTTCTATTCTGGACATAAACTTTTTTAACATTATTTTTGCTTCAGTTTCTTTTTGAAACTGTCTCTTTTTTGATATTACAAGATAATATACCGGAGAAGAAAATTAGGCAAGGGCTTGGGATCTTTATGAGTAACAAAGCCTAGATTGTTTTTAAATTATTAAATAAAGTGAGATAGACAGGAAACTTAGGCTTCTCTTTTATTACTTCTTTTCTTCAGCTTCCCATTTCCTGGGAGAACATGTGAAGATACAATACAATGATTGAGACAAACTGAGTGTGGTTGAGAAATGAAGATATACAAGAGAAACAGTGCAAGACCAGCTGTTTTAGTATGTCGGGTACAATAACAGACTACGTTCCAAATGTTAAGGAAGTTGCTTCACCCTGCTTAGAGCAAGTGTGTGCAGATACACCTCTGGGTGTGTCTGGAAGTGGTTGAATATATCATATTTGGCAATATATTTTGTGGAAACTGAGACTTCCAGTCAAGGAGGCTGTGGTGCAGAATCTCTATTACCGTGTTTCTTAGCTGCTGACTGTCAAACAGGCGTTTTCAAAACTTGGTTTTTGCTTTCCTTATATCATGCATTGTTCTCATGATGGTTCATGGACTGGAACCTGTAGGAAGTCATTTCTTATTCAATAAATCTCATATGAGTCAGAACTATATAGTATAAGTTAAAAGAGATTTCTTAGTTGAACATAGCATAAAGGGCTTTAAATTTTTACCATCTTAGGTATTTCAAC